ATTTAATGCATCCATGCTGAATTAAATAATAAATTAATACAAAGAAAATGTTGAAGCCAAAACCTTTAAATGCCAGTGTACTTTAAATAGTTCACAAAAATGTAAATTCTGTCATCATTTACTCACTCTCATGTTATTCCAAACCTGTATGACTTTCTGTCTACTGCTGAACACAAAAGAAGATATTTTGAAGAATGTTGGTTACCACTGACTTCCATTGCACGTTCAAAAAACAAACAAAAAAGAAAAAAGTGAGACAACTTCTCAAAATATCTTTTTTTATGTTCCACAGAAGAAAGAACGTCATACAGGTGAAAAATCCCTTTAACACCTGAAACATTGTAAAGTGTATACTCTTTTTATTATTGTAGAAGCAAACCCAGCTGGAATTGCATTGACACTGAGATAAACCATAAGAGGCTGCCTCTAGTGAGGGTTTGGAAAAAGGGCCAAAAATCTTTCTGCAGACTCATCTGGGAAGGCTTCCATGCACTTTATATGAGCTTCTCTCTGATCTCCAGCCACTCTCTTCAGTACTCTCTTTCTGAACGCATGCCTCTCATCTCACATCACAAGTGTTTGCTCTCATGTTGACCATTTGGTTTCAGTGTGGAGCCAGGGGTCCGAGCTGAATTCCTGAAGGATCGCCTGTCAATATCAATGGTGAGTGATGTGCCACAACACATTGTAAGTCATAGTTTAAAAAGCTCAGCGTCAGTCTGAATCTCTCTACTAAAAGTCCTGTGGCGATCTCTCATGTATTTGGCTAAATAGCAATAACTCATTCATGTCTGCATGTTGTTGTACAACCGAATATATCTATATTTAAATATATCTATATTTAGAAATATATTTTAATCATTTGTTTGGAATGATATTGAATAGAGAGTATTAAGGAGTGTTGGGTATGGCCTCATTTTAGTCCTTTATTCTGGCGAGACAAATGGGCACTGAAACCGGGTTTATTTTGAATGATATATTGTGTGTGCTGGCTGTCAAAAAGTGATCTTATTCAAACTCTAATTTTTGAGAATCCTCTGCTTCTATTGCATCAGCACCATGGACAGTAACCGTTACCATGGAAACACAGTCACATCAAAATATGCTTGCGGTAAGTATTGCAGAAACTTAAGTCTTTGTACAATTTAAAGAGCAGACACCATTAAATCAATGACACGCCTTCAGTCTGGCCAATCAGGTTTAACTACATATCCATCAAAATACTAACATTCAGTTATTCAGTTAACAATTCACGGTTGAATTGTAAAATATTATATATATATAATAATATTAAATAATATCTTACAATTCAACCATGACTTAAATAGTTAGAATTTTGATGTATATATTATTATAGTATACTGCTGTTCAAAAGTTTTAGATCGGTAAAATTTTAAAATTGTATTTTGACCCAAAATACAGCAAAAACAGTAATATTGTGAAATATTTTACAATTTAAAATAACTTTTCTATTTGAATATATTTTAAAATGTAATTTATTCCAGTCTTCAGTGTCACATGATCCTTCAGAAATCATTCTAACATTTCAAGAAACATGTTAACTTATTACCGGATACAGCAAAAACAGTAATATTGTGAAATATTTTACAATTTAAAATAACTTTTCTATTTGAATATATTTTAAAATGTAATTTATTCCAGTCTTCAGTGTCACATGATCCTTCAGAAATCATTCTAACATTTCAAGAAACATTTCTTATTATCGATATTATCAGTATTGAAAACAGCTGTGTACAATTTTTTTCAATTCTTTCAAACAATTTTTGATTCTTTGATAAATAGAAAGTTAAAAAGAACAGCATTTATCTGAAATAGAAAGCTTTTGTAACATTATACACTACCGTAAGTTTGGGGTCAGTGTTTTTTTCTTTAAAAAAATAAAATAATAAATTAATACGTTTATTCAGCAAAGATGCATTAAATTGATCAAAAGTGACAGTAAAGACATTTATAATGTTACAAAAGGTTAAAAAGATAAATACAAACATATTTAAATATATTAATTACGAATTATATGAATTTAATTTAATATCATTTACTAAAATGTAAATATTAATATTTGAAAACATGTGTTTTAGCTTAATAATACAATATATCATTTCACATGCTGTACTGTATTATTTGTTTGTCCTTATTCCCCTTTATAATCCAAGCTAAATTACAACTACTCTGTGTTTTATGACTCTTAATGGAAAACAATATTGGTCCAATAGAATGGAAAAGAAAAAGAAACAGAACAACCATATCCAATTACTTTTAAGCACCTCTCAGCGCTTCTGTCCTGAATATAAAGGTCACTGGGTTGATCATTCATCAGACTACAGGCCTGAACAAGAAACTATCAAAACAGATTCTTCAGCATGACTGAAAGTCCTTGCCCTGATCTCATGCATGGAATGTACTTTCCCAGGGGTTCATTTTGTTCACCCCTCTCGAGACCAAACCAACAATACATTCAGAGGAGTGAATGTCTGTTTCTGCAGAATGTTTTACCTTTAAAGTATAAGTTTTAAGTATATTGTGACCAAATATGTTGCTGAAACATGTTTGCGTAAACTGAATAGCATACATTTTATTATTAATTTTATTTGCATTTTGTTTGACACAGACTATTAGACAAATTGTAAAAAAATAAATAAATAAATGTAATGTACTCACTGTGGGGTGTTGATCCAGATGATGCCCAAGTGACAGTAATAAACACATTCCCTGTCCTTAAAGGAGTAGCAAGTGCAGCGCTTGGATCTTGTGCGGGTGTGTGATGCTGAAATGAGCTCTGCTTCTGTCTGCTGAAGTAAAACACTGTTCGGATCATCAGAGAAGACTAGAGATGAGTGCAGGTCTCCTGTCCTGGATAATGATGCACCTTTCATTTGAACAATAATCAATCATTATCAAAGGGCATAGCTAATGTCCAAGCAAACTTAATTGTGTGTTTGTGTGTGTGTGTGTATATATATATATATATATATATATACTGTAAAAAAAAATCCGTAAAATGTACGGTAAAAAACCGGCAGCTGTGGTTGCCGGAATTTTACAGTAAAAAATACGGTAGCAACGTTTTAGGTTTTACCGTAATTTCATTAACTGATATAATGTTAATATACCAACCTATTGAAGTACTGAAATCTGTTTTGTACCTTTGTAATACACTGAATGCAGGAGGTGATGAGAAAGTCACATGATGAACCAAAGCCCATCACAAGCAGCTTTTAGATAATAACATATATAGAAGGTGCACAGTGCCATTCACACAAACACCAAACACCATCACGGTAACACACATGAAACTGAAATAATGCAATAAACATTCATTTAACAACATTAGGTGTAACTCACAACCCTAATATACAAAACTGTTAAGAAAAAACTAAGAAGAAACAGTTATTTCAACAAAAAAAACATCAAATTTGAAATGTAACGCAGGGAATTCTGGGAATGTCAATTTACGGTTATTCACTGTAAATTATACAGTATTTTTCACTTCCAAAAACGGTATACTACCGTAAAATTTATGTCCAATACATGTAATGTCCAATACAGTTTTTCACTGTATATAGTAGGGGAATTTACCGTTAACCATTTAACAGGTTTTTACTGTAGCATTTTTACAGTCTTTTACCGTTAAATTCACAGTCATTTTTTACATACAATATATATATATATACATATATAAATTAAGTCTATTTAAGACAATGATTATTTTTGTGACTTTTGGTTTTGTGTAAATACCGTTTTTCTAATTTGAGATTCTCATTACTGACAACATAATGTAATACAGTTTTATTGTTTCACCGCACAAAAAAAGTTATATTATTATTATTGTTGTGGTTGTTAATAATAATATAATAATACATTTGTAGATGAACACAATTATTTTTATATAAGAATTATAATAAGAATTATTGTTATTACCATTATAATTACATTACACTACTGAGCAAAGAAAATGAAAATGTGCTTAATTTTCATGACAATAATGTCACAATGCAAAAAGGCGTATATAGCATAGCTTAAATTAAATTGAAGCCATCATTTATTCAGTCTTGTGATCTGGTGACCCACAATTAGCCACATAACAGTCGATACTGAGGAAAGACATAAGAACTGAATGACATGTGTAGGCTAAATAGAACTTAAAACTAGTCAAATATCAAACTATTAATGGCTCCTTTAAATTATAAACCCACTTTACTCATGTAAAACTCACTAGAAAACAGTGGTTCAGTATAGTTGGAACACTTACCCACGGTGAAAGTGTTTAACAAACTCACAATGAACAAAAGAGCACCAGGAAACAGTTGTGCCATTTTGCCAGCGTCCTCACTGAGCGCGCAACCAATATCAGACGCGGTATCCGAGATTCTACATTAAAAATGTCTTCCAAAAAGATTCCACTACAGTCCACAAACCACTTCTGAGCATCCTCTTCTTCATCTCTGAGAAAGCTCCGGTGAAACGGAAAAAAAGCGTTTTTAACGGTCAGACAAAATGTATATTTATAGCGCGTGTTGACACCACCCACACACACGAGTTCAGAGGAGCGACCGATGCTCTGAAACATGACAGATCATGTCAGCATGATATTACAAAAGTAACGCGCTTAGGAATTTGGATACGTCCCTTTATAGTCCATCTTTTGTGTATAGATATCCTAAAACAGTCCGTTATTTACACTCCGTTGTCTTTTTCCACTTCAGGAATTTGAGCACTAATCATTCTCAGCTTTGAGGAATTCGCTCACGCTTATATAGGCTAGCTACCTAGTCCATTATTTATTATTTTACCTTCATAGCTGGAAGACATTAAGGTTGGCCCTCATATCATATCAATCATATGGTTTCTGGTCTACCTCAGGTTTACAAAACTGTAGAATAATAAATTGTGGTATTTAACAACCCTCACTTTTATTGCAATGATCTTGTGTGCACAGTGACTTCCCACAGTGGGAATGTTAATTATTATGGCACTATAAGGCATTTTATAAGGTTTTGGAAGGTAGTAAAGAGGAACTCCAAGAATTCACTTTTCTTCACAATATGCTAATGTACTTAGTCACCCTTATTAAATTATATTAAAGGAACAGTTCACCCAAAAATGAAAATTAGTTGAAAATGTGTATGCCCTCAGGCCATCCAAGTTGTAGATGAGTTTGTTTCTTCATCAGAAAAGATTTGGAGAAATGTAGCATTACATCACTTGCTCACCAATGGAACTTCTGCAGTGAATGGGTGCCGTCAGAACGAGAGTGAGCGAGTTTTCATTCTGGGGTCAACTATTCTTTTCAGTGGGTTCACACCTAATTCTTTAAGTGTTTTCTTTGAAAGAATTTTTCAAGAATTTATAAATATAAACGCATTTGTACAGTATGTTGCATTTGAAGGTCTTACACTGACCTACATCAGTGGTTTCTATGCAGGAGGCTAAAGAGTGAAACATTTTTCCTTTAATCCACAAAATACCAGTCCTTTCAAAGCAAATAAACATTTTTGCCCACCTCAGTGTCCTGCTGACCTCAATTTCCTCTTCAGTGTTAAGTTTGACGCCCAGTATCCCTCAGAGAATTTCAAGCCCTTTATAAATCTCTTCAGAGTCTGGCGGTATTTTTTATCAGCTAAACTTTTGTCATTTAGGTCACATTATTAAAAGGTAAGACACTTCTGTGATATTTAGTTCACAGTGTACCCAGATTTAAACACTCCACTATTTTTGAAAATAGGCTCATTTTCAACTCCCCTAGAGTTAAACAGTTGAGTTTTACCGTTTTCGAATCCATTCAGCCGATCTCCGGGTCTGGCGGTAGCACTTTTAGCTGTAGCTTAGCATAGATCATTGAATCTGATTAGACCGTTAGCATAAAAGGAATAATCAAGGAACTTACTGCCGTACCATGGGTGCAGCAGGCGCAATGATATTACGCAGCACCTGAAAATAGTCCCCAGCTAGGTAACTTCCAATAAGCCTATTTTTAGGCGCTGCGTAATATCATTGCACCTGCTGCACCCATGGTACGGCAGCAAAGTTCCTTGATTATTACGCCGGAATGAGAGTATAGTTCCTAGCCATGTCGGCCTAGAAAATCGCAACTTTTAATTTTCCGTCGGTCTTAGTACACGATGTAACTGCAGAAGAGTCAAGTTTTAAATAGGAAAAATATAGAAACTATTTGATCATTTTTGAGCGAGATGCTAACGGTCTAATCAGATTCCATGATCTATGCTAAGCTAAGCTAAAAGTGCTACCGCCAGACCCGGAGATCGGCTGAATGGATTTGAAAACGGTAAAACTCAACTGTTTAACTCTAGGGGAGCCTATTTTCAAAAATAGTAGAGTGTTCCTTTAAAAAAAACATTGTTTTTTTTATTCTGTGTTGTATCTAATGTTCTATTCCTGACTGATAAAATAGCCTATTAGATAGACATGCTATTATTTTAATGTAAAAGGACACATTTACTTATCTGAATTTCATAAGGGTCTTGGCAGAAGCTGTATTTGGGCACGGGACATGCCTATCCCTATCCCTAAATCAAACCCACAAACATCAGGAAGTTTTCCCATCCAGTATCCTGGTTAACTGCAGTGGACAAAGAGGAATTCCACACCAATTATATGGGGAAAAAACAGAACAGAAACAATTCACTCACAAGCATCTTTCATTTTTGTGGATAGTGGGAAATAAGGAGTTTTTCATATCAGTTGCTGTAATTTTGCAATTATTGGAAAGTGATTGTAATTCAGAAATACCCATAGTCTGACAGCGCATTAATTCAGATAAAATGTATATAAAATATTACTTAATGTTCTGTACCATCTGTGGAAAACTGTGAAATTTTATCTGGTCTAGAAGAAATATAAAGATGTGACCGTCTGCACAACAGTGAAAGCTAACTGCAAAAAATAAAGTATTTTCAGATGTCAGTTATTGTTACAATGTGCATTTCTAGACTTGTAGTGCCATATTTAGTTTTTGACTGGATGACGGGGTAGTATTACAATGCGTTCTGTACTGTTGTTTAAAACATGCAAATTGTTCAGCTGATGAAAAAAACTTTATTTTTGAAAGTCATTAGTGTTTGTTTGTCTGTTTATTATACGTATGTGATCTAGAACTTTTATGCAGCGCATGCAATTGTAAAGACTATTAATCTGTCATTCACAGCCTCATTTTTATGTGTAAACTTCAGCCTGGCATGTACCCTGAGGTATATTTAATTCAAATTCCTCCAATGAAATAAAATGTGACCATCTTGAATCCATATTACATGCTGGTAACAATCTGAAATCAGATTCATTAGGGACATGTATGTACTTATAACTGTACACACACACACACACACACACACACACATATATATATATATATATTCATATTTTACATTTTGTTAATTAGAAGCAATGCTGGATTTTTCAGAATCCTATAATTTCAAGAGCTAGTCTCTTCCTCATAGCTTGTTAGTATAGATTTTGTAATAAATAAGACCCACATTCTTTCCTTTATATGTGAAATTTGAGAAATTTATTTGAAAAATAGAAGAATCTGTGGAATTATTTTTGATGAAAATATCCAGTATATTTACTGGAGATTAAGATTTTAGTTTTTCTTGAGTTTCTCTCCATGACAAATTATATTTTATAATCTCTCTACACTAAAACAACAAACTTCTGCAAAATATAAAATTTCTCAATGAGGGGTCAGGTTTTCGGTTAAGAAAAACGTTTTAGTCTATAGAAAGGGCACTTTTACTAGCCTATATTTATTTCAAGTCATGCCATGGTAGGGTCAGTAAAAGTGATTAAACTAGATTTTCTGAATAGTTTCACAGCTGGGACTGGGCAAAGCTTCAAGTGCATGGTGTTTTACTTGGCTGTACTCAAACTGTGTTTGCTTTGTGCATATATGTTTGAATACTGATGTAACATATATTTTCCTTGCAAGTACTTAGTGGCTTTTGAGGCAGAGCTTCATAAACATTTTAACCTCCAGGCAGAGCATACATAAATGTCTCCAGGAGTTTGGCTCCAAAAATGCTTTTCATCATAATAACTCTTAGTGCTTATTAAAACATTGTTTGTTGTTAGATAAACACCTTTGGAAATTATATCCGCAAAGGATATAGCAATTTATAAAATGTCCAACTTTTACTGGATATGGAGTGGTTAAAAAAATGATGCCAAGTAAGTTGTGCTAAACTCTGATAAAGCAAAAGTACTAATCGTTGGTCCAAATCTCTGTGTAGGTAGTTCAACTGTTATATCATCCTATACAGTCTCTAGAACAGCATTCTTTCACTTAATAAATTGGAATGATCTTATTCAAGATGCTGGACAGGCACGTGCACACATAAACATCAAAGGGGGCTTGAGCACCTGCCCTTTTTCTTCCTTGAGAGAAAGTACCCTTTTTTCTGGGGAGTTCTTTTTTTTTTTTTCAAATAAATTAATATATATGTGTGCGTGTTAGTGTTTGATCACAGCTTTCCCTGTCAAACAAATAAAAAAACGAAATATCAGGTCGGATCAGGAAATGTTGAGACTCTGATCGGCACATCAGTCACAGACAGAGAACCGCAGCGGCAGAAGTGAAGCCCTCCCTCTCTTTCCAGTTGTGTTTGTCTTGATGTGGAGGTGATGAACAAAAGCCTAAGCTACCGGTGCCTCGAATTTACAGCTAATTATTAATGACAAAAAGCAAATGTAGTTAATTTGTCTGGTTAACATCCATGACTCATGAGAGCTACCATGTAAGTTAGCTAAAGTTTAGCAGGTTAGACCACTGCACGTTCTTTCACTGCATGATTCAATTTTTTAAAATGCATTTAGAATGATCACAAAATTCAAGATATCGGGGCAGAAATTTATATTTATATCCTTCCATATAGTTAATCAGTGTCACGCGAAGACTATATATAATATATAAAACAAATATAATTCCAATTTGGTCTCTGAGCAACATGACGGTGTTTCGTTCCTGAATGAATCAACCCTTTAAATTATTCGGTTCAGTCGCAATGACTCACTTATTAACAGTGACTTGCTGCCACCTACTGGCAGTTTTAGTTTCATAGTTAAAGTATTTTCTTTTTCTTTCTTTTATTTTTAAATAATTTCAAATATCAGTATTGAACGTTTTATGTTTAAAATATCAAAACAGTATTAAAGCATTTGTAACTGCAGGTTA